GACAGTGCTTTCCATAGCTCTTGCCTCACTTATGGTAGTGATAAATTTGATTCATTGCCTCCTTTTTTTTGGATAAATAATTAATTTATATTTTTGTTCTGTTTCATTCTCATTCTTTTAATGGTTAGCTTTCAGTCTCCTGCATCTCCCTTTAATTGAGATGAAGCCTGAGCTTTAGCAGTTTCATATGAGAGAAAAGTGCTGGAAAACTTAGAATAGATTTGTGCCAATACTGATGTTTCTCTTCTGTAAAATACTAAGGAAGAAGTAAATCATACTTCCTTTGAGCCTAGAAAAAAGTATTAATGCTTGGGTTAAGTGCATTTTCTTTCTGTACACATGGAAAGTAAATAATGGCCTAAGAAGTGAATACAGATTGAATCTATTACTAAAGTGCTAGTGCTACAACAGCTATAGGAGCTGGGATAAAAGTTGCATTTTCCTTCTTTTCTGAAGTTGTTCATCCTACATCTTGTTTGGAAGGGAAAATGAATTATTTCGTACTGTTTTTTTGACTGTAGCTAATTTTATTGCTGTTCTTTAATCAATTTGTTTTTTCTAGGTGGAATTTTATTATTTGATGAATCGAGTTAAATTTATTTTTGCATGGCAAATGAACAGCATCAACTGTTTTGTATTTGTACAGCATTTAGCACCATAGTGTCTACTGTTACTGTTCTTGGGGACTATAATGACACAAGTAACTAATAAATACTCTGCTTACAGCTCTTACGTTTTCAAAACACTTCACAAACTACTTTATCACAATGTCTCTCCTCTATCTCTTTTTATGGACATGGAAGTAATGACACAAATCTTATGTTGTCTGTTGCAAAGCTAGAGGCAAAACATGGGTATCCTGGATCCTGTGTTTGGAAAGATTACTTACATCACCGAGATACCAGTGTGAGAGAGTGCACTGACAGTAAGCAGATCATGACTTGCATAAAACAAGGAGATACAAAAGCAAATCTGTGTGAATGTGCACAGTATCTAAAGAGTAGGGATAATTAATGACAAATTATATATGGAAGTTTACTTTTGGCAGTATTTAATGGACAAACTTATGAAGCATTCTCTTTGCATGGGTCCTGCTTTCCTCTAGGACTGAGGCTGGTCTGTTTTTCTGCTGTATTTGAGATGCAGTTCTGCTCTGCAAAGATTGTGTAGGAGGAGAGGAAAGGGGATTGGTTGTATTTATTATTTTAAGGGCTTTTGACATGCAGGTTTGCTCAGTCAGTGAATTGAATACAGAGTTATTTCTTCTGGCTCTCAGTGCTTTGAGCTTGCCTTTTGGTTTAGAGGGGACTTGCTACAGATTCTTTCACTTTTATGCATCAGCCATCTCTGGCAATGAAACTAAACCTGCCAATCTGTTAAATATTTGTCAACTGCTATGTGCAGATATCAGCAATACAATCTTTGTTTAATGTCATTCAGTTATTTCAAACAATTTGAAATACAAGTTTGTGTGAAATTCAGCATTTTCTGCCATATTTGACTAAGTGCTGCATATTTAAGTGCTGCACACAAATTCTCTGTAACAAAACATAGTAAAAATGTATTGTTTGTCTACCCTGGCCATATAACAGATTTCTTAGCTTCTGCATACCCTCAGAGAAGGGTTTCTGTTGGATAGAGTACTAATAGTTGGAACTGTGTCTGAGTAAATCAGGTGCAGGTAAAACTTTGTGGGATATTACTTAGTCTTGTCCTTTCCCTGGCTGACACACAGATGTTCCTTAAGGTGATCCTTTAGAGCAGGGCATCTGGGGGTGCCTGTTTGGGACCCATAGTGCGATCTGTAGCTCTTTATGAACTGAAGTTCATCTATTTCCTTTGGGCAGAAGGAGCTCTGGTGTGTCTTAATCTGCCTTTCAAAGATTATAGGAGTAGCAGAGCTAGGAAGGTGGGACATGCATCAAGAGAAGGAAATTGAGTTCAGGCTCTTTTGCGTGACATCGTGAAGCCATCTGTATGATAAAAATGTAAAAAAAATCTTCACTGATAAGAGCATTAAAATGAACAGTAATCCAAAAGCACAGTTCTATTTTGGTAAGTGGTAATCTAAAAATGTCAATTTTGAATCCATCAGATCTATTCCTGTGAATATTAAAATATTACTTGCTGAAATTGGTGACAAAAAATACTGTTTTAAAGTATTGGACAATGATCTGATTTCTTTCAAATGTATCATCTGTGAAACAGTCTATTAAGTTTCCATTGTTTATATCCATTTAAAATTCTGTCACTTGAAATTTTTGAGAGTTATATGGATAATTATTTCCCTGGGCATTTCTTTCTCTTGCTATTGATCCATTTAGAATAGAAAAATCATTTCCTTTGAGGAAATCAAATAGAAAATACTTAATGCTGAAATAAAAATAAAATTTTTTTAGCTTTTTCTGAACTTTTAGAATCTTATTGGCAATGCAGTCAAGTGAAATATTGTGAATGATTTGAATATTAAATGCATCCTTTCAATGCAAACAAATCAAGTATTTTTTTTCTGTAAATAAGCAATTTATTTTTGTACAAAACCCCTAATTCTGTATACCTCTGGTCAGAATGTAGTAGAATCACTTCCTCACAAATGATGCAGTTCTATCACATTTTAAAAGTTTTTACAAAATTTCTTTTTGTGAATTTCACAAGGAAAATTAGGATAAGAGTACTCTGAAAGCAAAGTAGTTGCCCTGAATGTTTTAAATCTAATTTCAAGTATTTTATTTTGTATTCCTATTTTCATATCCAATTTCTTAAGCTCCCTTTCCATGATTCTTCCCACCCCCCAAGTTATTCTAATCCTTGACTACTTTTTCAAATAAGACTTAACCAAATTTCAAACTTTTAAGTCCTTCTTGAATCATGATTATTTTTGTCTTTGGTAGGACACTTACTGACAAACAGCATTTTTTAAAAAAAAATCCCAGTGATGAGTTTTAATTTTAAGAACAAGTTTTGTACCACTACTTTTGAGCAAGAATAAAAATGGGGTTTAGAATGTTGGGATGAAAAAGTTTCCTGCCCTTGCTTGAGACTTGTAAGCACTGCATGATTAAAAAGCTTGACTTTGAGACTGAAGCTAAGAGCAGGCCATTACTGGGGACCTCTCCAAATGTAAAACGCTATTTTTTGCTGTTAAAGTTTGTAAAGAGGAAAGGGAGAAATGGGCACTGGTTGTTAGGAAAAAGGCCAGAAGACTGTGCTGTAATGTCAGAATGCAAATATTTAGAGAGACTATATGTTCTTGTCACTCAGGGACTTGCCTATCCAGTTTCAAAATATGGTTATCATGTTATAATTTTCACTGGTTTTCCCTTTGCTTTTCCTCTCCATGCTGAGTGTTCAGAAGTACCTGCTTTCCCTCCCCTGTAAATGAAGGCCTTATGCCTTCTGTGTCATATACTCTGAATTGGCATCAAGACTTTGCTCCATTGTTTATGAAATAAAGTCAGTTAAGGAATGAGTGGGAATTGGAAATTAACTTTGTGAAGGAATTTTTGCATTGGTGACTTGAAAAGTTTGGCATAGATAATCATTGGAAGAATAGATCACTTAGTCTCTTCTAGATCTCTGCAAGTATCTCTGATTTAAAGGAAGGCTGCTTTTCTCTGGTTTTGTTCTTCCTGTTTGCTCCCCTCCCCCTGGTCATGCTAGATCCTGTCCAAATACTTAATAGAAATTGATAGTGTGTTCCCAGGTAACAAATTACATCTGTCTCTGAAAATGAGTCAACGTAATCATGACAAATTCATGAAATAAAGGGAAAATACATTGCTGCAGTCCGGGGGAGCATGAGTCAATACGCTTTATGTAATTATTTAATATAACATCTCTTTTAGTGTATTGAACCAGCCTAAGACACTGAAGCAGTTGTATTTATGCAGGAATAAACAAACTTCCAGTAAAAGCTGGTGACCAGAAGTATGCAATTACGCATTTCCAGAAATACTCATTAAACCAGTCTGCTTAAATTTTAATCAGACTTCTATGTATGAAACAGTCTTGATAAAAGGGAGTAGGAAAAAAAAAAAAAAAGGATTTTTGTGAAAGGCTATTCAGATCTTCTTGTGCCCCAAATGGCTTTGAATTTTTTTATTTAACTTCTTGTGCATGGAATTGCAAATCTGTCTAGAAGTTAACAACACAAAGTTCTGCATGTTGGCTTAATTCTGTTTTATGGGAGCCATGTTAGTATCAGCACAGAAATACTGCACTGATAACAAAGCTGTCATAAAAAGAATATATGATGTGGGGACTAGACAGTGAGATATTTGAAATAGTTAATCTTTGTGTAGTCTGTGTAAGAAATGTCAGAGGACTGTTTACCCGTGTGTGAATTCTTATATGAAAGTTAAGTCATAGGAAATGTGCTACTACACAGAAAAACTAAAAATCACCAGGTACTTGCATTATGTTTTGGCCTTCCTTATTTATCTTCCTGCTACATCTGAGCTAAATACTGCAAATGGTGTTATATCTGAGACATGAGAGGATGTGTGTTGCCCAGGATCAGAAGGAAGTCAGGAATAGCTGTAAAAGATTCATGACTCTAGATGCTGGAGTGAATTCAATAGGTGTCTGGTTATGTTCCTCTCAACATTAGATTTGTATAATTTAATGGTCAGTGACTTCCACATTTATTTTCAATAAGACTAATGTAGCATCAGGATTCTCAGGGACAATCTACCTGCACAAATGGATGTGCAATAAATAGCCTGTCATCTGAAGTCTTTACAAATGTAAACCTGTTCAAATAATCTGAAAGGGTTGTTCAGAGAGCAACCCACAGAATGTTACTGGTTGAACATAAGAGTACATTCTTCTATCCCTGAAAAGGTTCACTAACTTTTTCATGTTTCACAGTCTCTCTTTTCAGGTGTTATCTGATGACCATCTATTTGTTATGGATCACTTTGTGTCTTTTGGAAACAGCAGTTATGAATATTGTTGTTTTAATACTAAATTCTAATGGTCATTGTGCTTTATCCTTCTAGGGCATCAGCAGCCTCTTCAGTTCACTTAAAGTGGTCAGGCTACTTCGGCTGGGTCGCGTAGCTCGGAAGTTGGACCACTACATTGAGTACGGAGCAGCAGTCTTGGTTCTGCTGGTTTGTGTGTTTGGTCTTGCAGCACACTGGTTGGCCTGCATTTGGTTCAGCATAGGAGACTATGAAGTTATCGATGAGGATACAAACACAATCCGAACTGAGAGCTGGCTCTATCAGCTGGGGATGTCAATAGGAACACCTTACCGCTTTAACGCCTCAGGCTTTGGAAAATGGGAAGGTGGACCAAGCAAAGATTCAGTCTACATCTCCTCATTGTATTTTACGATGACCAGCCTCACCAGTGTTGGTTTTGGGAACATCGCTCCAACTACAGATGGGGAGAAGATCTTTGCTGTTGCTATGATGATGATTGGCTGTAAGTATTAGACATTCTGTCTCTCACACACAATGCCAAATAGCTGTGTGTCATGAATACTGATATCATAAGAACATCTGGAATCGTGTCAAATATTATTATGCAGTTAAAAATATTTTTGGTGGCAATAGATATTGCACACTTTCTTACTGGTTAGTTTTAAAATCACAAGTGGGAGTATTACTGACTAGCAAAAAATTGTCATTTTGGAAGCAATATTCTGTCAATATGCTTTCAGTATTCTCTTATAAGTAAACCATAAAATGTGTAAAGCCTGAAGTATTAAAAATTAATGCACCACAGTGGGTACAGACAACCTTTGTGCCTCCATTTGGTATGTAACAAAGTCTTTGTATGTCTGAGAGCTGTATATATTGGACAAGTGGGTTGGTGAGTAGGAGGAGGTCAGGAGCATCTCACAAGGGAGAGAGAATAGTGGCACTCTAGAGGCCACAAACTCAGCTGTGGGCTGAGCATACAGTCAGATCCTAAAGCAACCAGGATGATACCAGACGTGGGCACCTCTGGCTCACGTTTCCTTGTCACAAAATATTCATATTGCCAAGCTGTCCATCTTCTGGCCATGTTGTGACTTCAGTGCAGGATCTGTACTCAAAGTGCCTTGAGAGCTACTTGGAGTTGAGAACCATATGGTGGCCACCATTAAACTAGGTCCTGTTTTTTTGGTAAGGGTGGAATCTGAACCAAAATAAGGAAAAAACATAATTGTACTTTGTACGTGGAAGAGCATATTATATGGAGAAAGAGAGATGCTTATATATATTAATATTACATCTAGAGGAGAAAAAAGTAAATCCTTGCTAAACAGAAAATTAAAACCAAATATATAATGAAACTCAATTAGGAGCACAGTGCCTGTTATGATAAAAACGTGAAGCTTTGATTCTGAAGTGTCATTTTACAGCAACACTGAAATCACATACTGAAATTACGTGTGCAGTGTTAAGCAGGTTGAAGGTTAGTGAGAAGTATAAAGACAAGCATTCTTGATCATGTAGGGATTGGGATATTTTAGCTATAAAAATTGTTAATTTTGTTCTTCTAGCTTTTTCCACTGTTAAGAGTCCCATCATCCTAATAAAACACCCACGTAGCAGAAGAGAAATTTATATAAAACTTGGAGAAAATGATGCGGTTTCCTCATGAGAAGGTGCATTAGACAATGTAGCAGTGTAGTACAAAACATATTTCCTAATGAGAGTACCTGTTCAATAGGAAATATCCTGACCTTTAGCTTATTGTTCACTGGGTTATGCTCATGATACTAGCTAGACAAGAACAGCTAGTATTATTCAGTATTAGTATTTAGTAATATGAATACTGAATGACCATAACCTTCATAAAATCAAGAATGTATATGGGGATATTTGGGAGTTGTACCTGTTCCAAACTCTTAATATAAAAATCTGGTGGAAAGAAACTGAATTTATGTAAGATTAATTTTCATATATATCTGCTCTGAATTCTAAAATGAACTTTAATTTCAGCAGGTTGTAAAAAATGGTGTTCTGATGATTTTAAATGTCATGAATGCAATCATATTTGAGGGAAACAATTCTGTTTGTATTTGGACTTCTGGAACTTTACATGTCTAATCCTATAATTGTCTCTGTATCTGAGCACCTTTATCATGTGAACAACTACTTGGAAGCCATTAGGACTTGTTCACAACATGTGCTTGTGGGTATGGCAACTAAGTAATCCCATCTTTGATTTTACCAGTCTGGATATTGCAGGGTCTTGATTGCTTTTAACATGCTTGAAATTTTGATCTGTGGTCATTCATTCCTCAGGATGGGAGGAACAAAACTAATTTGGCTTTTTTGCAGGTATTTAGAGCTTAATTGTTGATTGACATTCTTCCACCATAAAATTTTATGTTAAAATAACACTATTTGGCCTATAGAATTAAGCTCTCAACCATTGATCTGAGCTTGAACTAGGGCTATTTTATAAGAGGTTGTTCTGATCTGTTGGGAACCGGAAAGATACATAGCAAAGGTATCAGGGATAAATGTGGGGGATGGAAAAGAAATTTTCTGGCTAAAGCTTTTGTGTATCAGGTGGAATAATTCGTATTTGTCCCTGACCAAGTAACAGGTTTGTTATGAGCTGAGCTGCAAACTTGTAACACAGTTGCTGGCTACACGTTCCTGTTACAGTCCTCATTTCACAGATGTCAGATCACGTAGATTTGCACATGGGATTGGTAGGGGCTGTGGATGTCCAAAGCTTCAGAAATAATAAATTTCAAATCAGTTCTACTAATGTGCTACTGTCCATTAATAAAAGGAAAGGAAATACGATTTCTCATTTATACTTTGCCATTAACACTGTTTATTTACCACCTGGTTAGTGATGCTGTCTCAGTAGCATAGGGAAAGCCATTTTCTTTCCATGAAGGATGCAGAAAGTGCCTAATTGACTGACTAAACTCCGATTGAAGATAAGTGGGATTTGCTGAGTCCAGCCTCAAACTTATCATTCCATTAACTTCTTTCCTGCTAGAGGAGAAGTCTTTAAGAATTGTGTGAATTTATCTTGTTTTTTAAGTGGCTAGGTATAGTCTGGGCAAAAATATATACCTGTATATGTAAATAGTCCAGTGAAATAAGTGAAGTCATTTTACAGCCTTTTCTGTATGAAATGGAAGCAACACTGTTACTTTTTCTTTGAGGATTTCATTTTTGTTTAGTTGAGTAAGACAATATGTTAACAAGATTGGTTTTGAGATTCCAAAACTGTCACTATAGTGTCATTAAAAAAAAAAAAAAAAGTATTTTGGGACAAATATATGACAGCCAGCATTAATATTTCAGAGTGGTTCCAGCAAAATTTTACATTAAATAGGCTGGAAGTTTTTAATAGGAGGGTGTTTTTTTTCCCCTTGGGCCAATTAACCTCCTGTGAATAAATAGTAAAACTTCCACTAGCCTCATGGGGACAGATTTAGATGAGTGGAAAGAAAATGATAACATTTTTTTTTTCTCTGTGTGTTTTATCCTCTGCTCTTTTTGAATAAAAATAAGTGCCATGGCAAAAAAAAATAGTGGCTTATTAAACTATATTGTGGCCAGCTAAGCTTACAGCCACAATTTTATTATCAAGATCATCATTGAAATGTTGATCTTTTTATTTGTAAAAGAAACTGAATTTTCTTGAAATGGAGGTGGTGGTCAACATGTGTGAAAATGTCTACGACCACCCCCTTCCTTGCATAGGCTGTATGTGTAGCTACTCTACAGAAAGTTAGGGTGCAGGTACCACTTCAGTGCACGGTGAGCAATTGCCTCCCACTGGTGGCTGACCGAGAAACTACAGCAGTGTGGAGCTTGCTCGTTCCTGGATCCAGTTTAGAGTCATAAGCACTGCAGCCTCCTTTTGAGTTTTGATGTCAGTGGTCTTGACTTCAGTTTGCTCCATAGAGTGGATTTTATTGTGCAAGGTTCTTGTATCTCTGGGGAAGGCTGGACATGGTATATGCTACCCTGAGGAGCATTGCCAGGTGGCGCAGTTTTGCCAGGCTTTCTGGTCCTTGTTTCTAGCAAACTTAGTTTTTAGTTTTGTTTTTCGTTTACTTAATTTAATGGCAGAGTATCTTAAATGGTTTCTGGGGAGGAAAGTCATGAATGGCAGCGATACTTTTTTCTTTGATCTTGGAGTGTTGTGTGAACTTTCACGAGAGGAGTTACTATGTAAACAAGTGATTTTTAAGACATTTAATGCTGTCTTCTCTACCGACAAACTGACTGAAAGGTTTGTAGTACAGTCAGCACAGGGCTATGGTGACATCCAAACAGGATGTTTGTGTCAGAAGGGCTCAGAAATATTACAAGTGTTTGAAAGTGTGAACAGTTCATAACTAGTGTCCTTCCATGTGTGTTGAGTATGCTTATTCACAGAGAGATGGAATTTACTCTGTAATTATGTTCCATCTTCTGTAAGACAAAATTTGGTTTTCTCTGCTGCTCAGCCACCAGTCTGCTCACTCCTCGCTCTCTCTGTAAAGCTGATCCTCTGACAAATACATTTGTTATATAATATTAGCTCTTCATAGACCTATTGACCATTAGTAATAGTACATTGCTATAATGTCAAACAGCTGTTTAAAAAAAAGTAGGTAAGATCACTTCCATTTTCTTTTTTCATTCAGTCTTTCGTTATGGTAAATAATAAATCAGGTAACTTTGCATTAAAAATTTAGAGATGTGTTAGTGAAGCTATCCTGGACTGGTGGGAATTTCAGTCAGTTTGCCAGTGAAGAGGACAGCAATACATGTCTTAAAATCAGTTGTTTACATAGTAACTCCTCTCGTGAAACAGAGAGGCTCACACAACAGTTGAGTGCAAATGTGTTGATCTAGTAAAAAGTTGAAGGTATGTGAGCTTGTAGAAGGAAGGCTGGATATGTCGTGTTATGAGTGTGTACACACTGGGAGGGGATGATTGAGGTGAATAAGCTGCACGTGGGTATTGAGCCTGTAGGGCTGACTGGGCTGGTTGGTTTTGCACATGGGGCAAATTATATGAAAGCTTGTCTTGGTCTCAGCAGCCCTGGTCTCTGCTTCAGGGCCACCTTCTCAGGGAGGTGTTCTTGTGCTCTCAAATGCAATGACTGTACACATTGTCCTACTGACCTTGTTGTGGCTGCAGTTTTCAAGGAGAAAGTGTTTTACTGTTGGCTATTTTGACGTGGGAAGGTGCAACCCGTTACTAGATTTGTGAGAGACTGCAGCATACTCACTGTATCCCTGGGCTATGTATGGTCCATTGGTCAGCTTCACCGAAGGGGGATATGAGTATGTGAAAAATACTCTTGATTCTTGACCTCAAATAATGCACATCTGTTTGGGAAGAACAAATTGTTTTAAAATAGAGATGAAGTATCCAGTGGCTGCTCTTAAGGATTTCTGTTCTGTGGAAGCTTGCTGTCTCTGTTCACATAAGCAGTTCATATTACTGTGTAGCTGTTTTTCCTG